ACATACATACATACACATGTATACACATTCTACGAGAGAAGGTCCCTATCATGTCCATGACGTGAGATCAACTTCACGTCCTTCATCCCGGGCAGCCTCCAGCAAGATGTCTTCGCGGTGGGCTTCTCAGGACTATGCGCGAATCAATTGGAAAGCAGCTGGAACTGGCTTTAATGGGGGTATCTACTTATCTACATATATACATAATATATATATANNATGGATCCCTCTAGTAGTCCCTATAGAAACCACACGATATTCTGGTTTTCATTTTTTCTTCCTTCATTTTCCACTCACAACCAGCAAGTTAACCCCCAACCTCATATCCCTCTAAGCCCTTAACAATAATCCATGTATTCCATTCCCTCTAACCACCAGCAAGTCTGCCAGGGAGCACCCAAGCTATTCCCCAGCCAAAAGAAGGGGACTTCAGAACTCAAGGCCTCAAACCCTAAACCCTGCCCTAAAGACTAAACCCGAACATTGGGGCTTCCTTGACTCGAAGTGCTTCTTGGCATGGTAAGGCTCCTGCAATCGGGCCCTCTAAGGCTCTAGGGTTTACCTGAAGACCAACCCGGCTACTCCGTGTGGAGGTTTCTGTCAGACTTATAACGAATCGATGGCGTGTTCGTTAGACTGCATAGCATTCCCCATGCTCTGTGCTTGGACGCTTTGCGTACTTATGTACCTGTCATGGGCTCAGACGCCTTGGACGTCCTTCAACACCGAATTCCGAAACTGCCTGAACCACAAATGCCTTTCCACGCTCTTGGCCCTTAACTCTGTATCACGAGCTGCTAAGCTTCTCGGGCCAACTCTGTGCTGAGATGGCGAAGCGACAAGGGCGCTGGCAAGGGACGGCATCTCGACTAGCACAAGATGATTCATGTTGCAGTTCTTGTCATGCGTACGCAAAACAAAGAGAACAGCAACAGAGGGAATACTGGGAGGTCATAATCGCATTAGGCAGTTTCCAGTCAGCAATGAGCTGACCCAGAAGGCGCGCTGACACAAATTTGACAGATGCTTTGCTTCCATTTTCTTTTCCATTA